TGTCCTGGAGCAGATAATGGCCCCACACCTTTACAAGTGTTCTAATAACTGGAATGTTGGTGGTTTGGTTCCTGGCTGCTCAAGTTTATGCCTTTGGCAAGATACTGACCCCTAAAGGTCCTGTAACATTGTGATGTAGGAGAATGCTCTTTTTGGTTGATGCTGGATCTGACTTTAGCACATTTCAAGCACTTTTTCTTATCACTGCAATGCAGATAACAATCAGTTATATCTCTCCTTTAAGGACTAAGTTGCAGATCTTGCACAGGTGCTCAGACGTTGGGATGGCTGACAGTTGTCTCCACATTAATGATGGGAAAACAGAAGTCCTTGTTTGTGCTCCCGACACTTTTGTGGTAGGTAAGGTAATGGAAACTTTGTATCCTTGGTGTGCCAAGTGAAGTTCCATTGTGTCATGCTGAACTGGAGCTTGATGATCATGCCTTTATATCCATCACATTTGGATTATTGCAATTCACTGTTAATTTGTCTTAACAAAGCTTCCCTAAGTTATTCAAAATGCCAGTGAGAGGTTTCTGACTAAATCTTCTAAGTACTTACGCGTCACACTGTTGCTAATTTGGCTGCAATGGATCCCCATTAGCTTCAGGGTTCACATTATGATCCTGGTTTTGACTGTTAGAGCCTCTGAAGTGCTATGATTGGTCAAAAGACCAAACATGCTGGGATGTTAATATAGGTTGTTACTTAACAAATCATCTGTAATACAGATATTTTGGCTTTGGATACTTGTTGTTGCTGTTTAAGTATTAGTACTATCAAAATGGAAAGGTTATGATGGAAACTTGTTCAGATATTAACAAGAGCTGACATGTGGGGAAAGTACACACAGGACTGAAACTGCATGCTTTGTTTTCACTGTTTTGCTGCCTTGATACCGTTGGTTTGTGTTAAATGACTAGATAATGCCATAAGTTTGCTGTGCCAGACAGAAACACAGAGTTAAAGCCGTTAAAGACAAAACCAAAAGTCGAGGGGGTGAAAAAAAAAAGGACCTGGAACAAATGAAAGTACAGAAAGTACAGAGAGTTAGTAATGTCTGACAAAACAGCTGGTTAAAAATAGACAGGAAGTCAGAAAGACTGTGGGGCTGAAAGAACAGCTTCGATCAGCTGAGCCTACAGGGCATTGATGGACCCACCAATTTGGAGAGGTGTGAGCTGAGGCAGGTTGGGTTAGGAGCACAGAGTTTTTGTAAGTCTGGACAAAGAAGATGACCTCGGTGCAAGCAGCTGGATCAGAGCAGTGCTTCCCTAATTAGGGTGAAGCCCCACCAAACAAACTGCAAAGAAATACCTTCACATATACAGGGAGGCTACTTGTATTCTTGTGTCCATCAGAAACTGACATTAAGAGAAAAAAAAAAGAAGCATGTAACAACAAACATGCATGAATACAAATGTGCAGGCACGTAGATACAATTGCTTGCCAAGACATGCACACATGCACAGCTGAAAAGATTCATCGATCCATTGCACTCAGCAGGATTGTTACAGGAAGGAGCGGCATGAGACGAGATAAAGGAGGACCTGAGCTGCCTGAAGGATTCAGCCCCTACAACACCAGTGGAAATTTCCAAAGGAAACCTAAACTGACCATTTTGATTGCAAGTTTCCTAAAAACTGAAATACCTGGCATAAAAATAAGATAAAACACTTGCCCCCGACCTCCAAGAAATGTGGCTATAAAAAATAAATAAATAAATAAAATCACAAATTTTAATTGAATGTAAGTGATATCTGTCAATTCACTTACTGTCTGTGATAAAGAAAAGAAACCTCTGGCAACCTTAGCTGTTTGGGGAGTAAGTGCGATAAAAACTGACAAAATATCAACATCATCAGTGAAAACGAGCTCCATGCGAACTGATTATGTTTAGAGAGACTTCTGATGGGTGTTTTGTCTGGAACTGAACCAAGAACTACTGTTGCCATCTCAGCTGGAGACACAATCAATTCCTGCCCTTATTATAGAGTTATGTGAGTGCTGCTGCAGTGATGAAAATGAAGCAGTGACTCATAGCGTTGGGATGAGAAAAGAGTGAGTACAGGCACAAAGAGGAAGATGAAATGAAAGGGAAAGCAAGGGGAAGAGAAAACCAGGAAGAGAAATAGAAGATTGTGCATGCGAAACAGATGAAAAGAGAGATCAGTTACAGAATGTAGAATGACAAAGGTTACGTTGTACAAGCGAAAGGAAAGCTCAGTGCGCCTGCATTACTGAATAGTCACAGAAGTATTCATGTAAAAGCTGCTTGTGCTCTAGAACATGCATAGTTATGCGGAGCTAAGACCTCACATAGCTAAGCCTCGATTTATCTGGAGCACATAAAACCATAAAACCTGCTAAAGAGCCGTGAAGTACAA